GTATAATTGCTCGGCAGTAATTTGTTCGCCCACCGTAATTTTCTATCTTGAGAGAAGCCTCTAGTGAAACCTATGGCCCCCGGATCTACTTTCCATCATATAAGTTTCCGATCTACAATTTTAGTTTCCTATTACTTTCTTTGCAATCTTTTACTTTCTGTTCCATAAACCAAGAATACCAAAAATATTACTTTACCGTTTATCCATCTATATCAAATCTCACTTTGCAAATAACCGTGAAGGGATTGACAACCCCTTTATCGCGTTGGGTGCAAGTTGGTGTTTGTTTGTGCAGGTATTCGGTGGCTTGAGCGTTGTCTCCTACTAGATTGATACCTTGGTTCTCAAAACTAAGGAAAATACATACTCTACTTTGCTGCATCACCCTTTCCTCTTCAAGGGAAAAACCAACGCAAGCTCAAGACGTAGCAGGCGCGCCCTAGGGGGCGCCCCCCAGGCTTGTGGGCCCCTCGTGGCACCTCTTGACCTAATTTCACCTCTACAAATACTCAAATATTCCCTTGACATCATAGAGCCACCCGAAATACTTTTTCCGCCACCGCAAGTTTCTGCCCCATGAGATCCCATCTGGAGGCCTTCTCTGGTACTCTGCTGGAGGTGGAGTTGGTCACGGAGGGGCACTACATCAACCTTGCTGCCCTTCCGATGATGTGTGGGTAGTTTACCACAGACCTACGTGTCCATAGTTAGTAGCTAGATGGCTTCTTCTCTCTCTTTGATCTTCAATACAATGTTGTCCTTGATGTTCTGGGAGATATATTCGATGTAATGACTTTTTGCGGTGTGTTTGCTGGGATCCAATGAATTGTGAGTTTATGATCAGATTATCCATGAATATTATTTGAGTCTTCTCTGAACTCTTTTATGCATGATTATTATAGCTTTGTATTTCTCTCTGGTCTATTGATTTGGTTTGGCTAACTAGATTGTTTTTTTCTTGCAATGGGAGAGGTGCTTTGTGATGTGTTTGATCTTGCGGTGCTCAATTCCAGTGACAGAAAGGGACATGACACGTATTTGTATCATTGCCATTAAGGATAAAAATATGGGGTTTATTCATGCATGAGTTTACTTTGTCTACATCATGTCATCTTGCTTAAGGCGTTACTCCGTTCTCTATAAACTTAATACTCTAGATGCATGTTGGATAGCAGTCGATGTATGGAGTAATTAGATGCAGGCAGGAGTCAGTCTACTTGTCTTGGATGTGATGCCTATATACATGATCATTGCCTTGGATACCTTCATGATTATTTTCTTTTCTTTTAGTTGCCCAACAGTAATTTGTTTACCCAACATATGCTATTTTTAAAGAGAGGCCTCTAGTGAAAACTATGGCCCCCGGGTCTACTTTTATCCTATATTAAAAACCTAAAAATACCTTGCTGCAATTTTATTTACTCTATTTTATTTTATATTTTTTGTGCTATCTATCTATCACTACATAATTTAATCTTTGTAATTAACCGTCGAGGGATTGGCAACCCCTTGTTCGCGTTGGGTGCAAGGATTTATTATTTTGTGTGCTAGTGTTGCTAACGAGGTGTTGCGTGGTTCTCCTACTGGATTGATAACCTTGGTTCTTAATCGAGGAAAATATTTATCTTTACTATACTACATCATCCTCTCCTCTTCGAGGAAATCCCAACACAACTCACAAGTAGCAATGGCCTGCCGCCCGTCAAACCCCTTGAGAGCATCGGCCGCAGCAGCAGGATAGAGATGCCACCTCGAACTGTAGATGGCGAAGATGTATGATCCTTATACCAGAAGAAGCAATTTATCTTCTTCCCGTACCATACTATCACCCAACGCTCCCACTGTTAGAGCCCCACCCAGCAGCACATTTAGTACTCAGTTGTTGCCCCTTTCTTGGACCTTACCAGCCGCCGACGGCTAGGCTGCTGAAAGCAAGCCTAGAGTAGTGCCGGTTGCGCGCGTGCAAATGGGGGCTGGCTTCGTGGTGTCGGGCTTCAAAATCCCCCTCCCACCATCATACACACTTTGAATTTCAAGCACCTAACCATGTAACTGTATTACAATTTATAATTGGAGTTATGAAATAGAGTAGCAAAGAAAGCTACTTGCTCAAGGAAGATACATTTTCATGTGGTTAACAAAATCTACAAGTAATAGAAATCATGCTTAGTTTTATTTCCAGACGCTCTATACAAGTATAGACACTACGACCCTGATTATGATTTGGTGGCTGGATTTTTCCTACACCTATATTTTACCAGTATCTTAAGTAAATCCATGGCTCAGAGTTGTACAACCTCCAAACATGTTATATTTAGGAATGGAGGTAGTATTTCTTTGGGGTTGTAAACCGTGCTTGGGACATATGTTATAACTGGTATTCAAAGGATCACATACACACTACTAATATCAGTTAGATCTCTAATTTCAAATACATGTACACTTCCAAACAAACTGCACAAGCAGAAAATGAACTGAAATTTTGATTTATATAGCCGTACCATAACACGATAAATCACGACTGGACATGGTTCCACGCGAGGATGGTATCACCCCCGTCTGTTGCCATGTGATTCGCGTTGTTTGTGTACGACGAGCCATGTATAGAGATTTCCCAGCGTCGTATCAATGTCTTTAGTTCATGTATTACACGGTCAATAAGTGTGTGTCCCACCACACAATAACTGCATTGATCCCACGTTATTGTTTACAGAAGAGTTAATGGGCAACCTGCACCACCGCCTGCATTTTCTCCCCATCCTTTCATCATCCAGCAGCTCCACTCTCACCCATCCTGGCTCCTTCTCTAGTTCATGGACTCTGTCCATCCTCATTCTCTAGTTCATGCACTCTGTTCATATTCATAGCTAGCTACTTCCTCCGTTCCTAAATATAAGTCTTTGGAGGGATTCCACTATGGACCACATACGGAGCAAAATAAGTGAATCTACACTCTAAAATGCATCTATATACATCCGTATGTGGTCCATAATGAAATCTCTACAAAGATTTATATTTAGGAACTGAGGGAATAGAACACATCCATGGAGATATAGAGCTCCTTATTTTTTGTAAAAATGGAGATGTTGGAGATGTAGACTCGTAGCTATACTGCTCTCTCTCCGCGTTGTAGCATCAGCACCTTCAACGCCAGTATTTTATATTCATGTCCTAGTAGAACCTTCAACACCAGTAGTGTATATTCATGTCCTAGTGTCATGCATGTGCTCATCAGTGTCCCAGTTCTTTAGCTCCTCCAGCGACGCCCATGGCGATGTAGTTCCTCTATTCCCACTAGTCTGGTTGCTCTATTCCCACTAGTCACCACAAGTTAAGATTCATACGTGGAGTTGAACGTTCAGATGTATCTAGGGTGACATAATTAGCTAGTATTAGTAGTTTACCATTTTTTATTCTGTCGAGCGCTAAATGTAATATTTCCCAGCAAGTTAATTAAAATATTCGATGCTAGTGTCGTGTGAGTTGCTGTTTATACATGCTAAAAAATTATATTTCTATCTATTTTCTTGTTCTTTGGAGATTGAAAACCTCTTTGTAAATGATGTAGTTCCTGGACAGACTTTTTCCATTGTTTATTTGTAATAGAAATTTACTGTATATATGAGGGGCTCCTCCTACTGTTCATGCGTAAAAAAAAATCTGCCACAAATATTTATAACCAAAACATGTGAGCTCTCTATCCAAACTGTCGTCCACACTCCGGAGGGAGCAGTAATGCATGCTTAACATGCAAGATCAATGCCTGGCGGAATCCAAATGCACCATTTATTGAACATGACCCATACATATTGATGACATGCAAGACCTGAACAACCCACTTACACCACTGACTCACTGATGCATAGCTCAACCCACGTACTTCACGTATCACTGACACGTATTCACCAAATTAAACCACCGTATCGTTTTTGTATTCATTAATTCACTATATTAAGTGCTTATCTTATAGCACGGATGGGCAGCTCAGGTTTCATCCTCACGTGGCACGATGTCTCAAAAATCCTCGGACTACCATAACATCAGTAAGAAAATGAAAATTTCTCATATTTGCAGAAATCCATGAGAACAAAATTCACATACTTCAGTGCTCAAAGTCAGCAACCGAGGATTATTCTTTGTCTTGTCAGCATGCTAGATAGCCAAAGTCAGCACTCGACAGTTGTTGAATTGTTATAGGTTGGAACACAAAATTTTGAGATAGATTCTTTTGCTTGCTTCATGAACTCATGCATCATAGTATCATACGAAAACGGCAAACTGCAGAGAAAAACAAATATTATCTTCTGTAATGATCACCTTGGTTCGCAATTAACAACTTAAGCATAGATACCATCCTAGCACATGATCAATTTGCTTCATAGTTGAACTATGCAACACAAATAACATTTTACATCCAGCAAATAGTACATAAATGAAGTAGTTTAATTTTACATATGTTTCCTTATTACGGGTCATAGGTAAATATTGAAGCAATATATATTTGCAAGGTCTGAACTACAAATGGGTTCGATATCTTATACTGAGAGATTAGGTTGCTGATAGAATTATAATACAAGTTAGCTATCCTGATTAAAAGAAGTTCACCGTGTGCCGAATATTCCAAGTATGTGACAGAATTAAATAAAGATGGGAAGCACAATATGCTGCAATAAGTAACCAGATTATGTATAACATCAGAGAACTGAAATATTAAACTTGGTAAGGTGTCATAATCAAAATGACGATTCTCAGCATAGTCGACCTGGATTGTACAACCCAGAACATGACTTCATGCACAGAAGCTAACAAGAAATTATACAATGTATGAACTTTTAGCTAACAACTCTTGGCAATGCAGAAGACCCAAATGATGTGTAACAGGTAAATATAAGCAATTCTAAGAGATAATGCTTTAACTAAAAAAGTCCAAGCAGTACATAACTCAAGTAATTTTGAGCATCTATAGGTACACTTTGATTTGAACATGGCAAGGAGAGCACATGACCAACCAAGCACACAACAATGGAGTACATAACTCGGTGGAGGCGTACTACCATGTGCATCTTTGCATCGAGAATCTGCCTCTCAATGCCTGGTGTGACGAGGTAGCTACGCAGGTGCTTGGACCAGACACGTTCCTCCACTACTTTGATGTTGCCACTGTGAAGCGTGAAGATTCTTCCTCCTTCAACCTGTGGGCATGGTCGGCCAACCCTTCGGCCATCCCCAAGGTTCTCCGGCTGACGCTCGCCGGCAACCAAGCGGCGGGCTACAGCAGCGGCCCGAGTGCCGTGGTGGGCCGGCGCGGCCTCAAGCGGCGTGTCCTGGTGCACCTTGAAACGGTGGAAGACTTCACTCCTGACGTCAATGGAGTTATCCCTCGCCGCCCTCGCTCAACACACCCGTTCACCTTCTACTACGGTGTGGTCGACGGTGAGTCAAGAATGCGAGACCGCTCGGAGGTGGCCGGACAAAGAAGGGATGATGACCAAGACCGCGACCGCCGCGATGACGATGATGACCGCGGACGTCGGGGCTGGGAGGATCACTCCTCCTCTTGGCGTGAAAGCTTCTTCCGCAGCCGGTCGCGCGCTCCAGCGCGCTGCGAGGACGAAGACCGCCGTGGCTCCAGGGATAGCCGCCGTGAAGACAGGGGAGGCCGCCGCGACGACCGCGATGGCAGGGACGGACGCCGTAGGACCTCCGGCACCCCTGACGCTCGCAAGATTGATTGGAACCAAGTCCAACGCCTTCCTGACGGTGTTGTCATTCCGGCCTCCGGCACGCGTGGCCGTCGTCGCCCTGAAGATAGTGGCTCGCGCTCGGCGCGCCCGGGCGGACTGACCAGCCCTGTCTGCGAGGACAGTCGTGGTCGTTCTCCTCCGGCCTCACCTAGAACCACCTCCTGCGACATCGTGCAAGTCTCTTCCTCACCTGGCGACGCTTCTTGGTTCAGCTGGATTGCCCCCTGCTTTGGTGCTCAGGAGAGGCCAGCAGTGGTGTGTCCTGCAACGCTGCATCAGGATGCCTCTCCTCGTACATCGGTGCTGGACATCATCCAGCTACATCCCATGCCAGCTCCAGCACGTCCCTGTGAATCTGCTATGCCACCCCTGATGTTGGCTGCTTCGGCATCCCATGGCTCGCCTTCTGCTGCTGAGCCGACCACGCCGATTTTCATCCCGATGTCCACCCCGCCAGTCAGCCCTGCTGCGACCAACTCTACTGATCTTCCCACGCAGTCCCTGTTGTTTGTGCCTTGTGCCCCGCCCCTGCTGTCAGCGCCGAGCTCTACACCGCCCAGGCCGCCCAAGACAAGGAGGAAGACGCTCGCTGGTGTTTCGGGCTTCAACCTCAACCGCTGCAGCCCGCGTCTTCAAGCAAAGAAGAGGACTATGCCAGTGGCGCAGCTAGCAGAGAAACTCCTCTGTCAGCGCCTGGGCATCATCAATGAAGGGCAAGAAGTTACTGAAGAAGCCATTAGCAAATTTGTTGGCATGTTCCAGGGACAACTTCCTGACATCACAGTTTCGGCCCTTCGGGCCCTCTTCAATCTTGACTGTGATCTTGCGAAGGCCGTGGAGGATGCATTGGTGGAACATGGAGGCGCGGCCGGAATAGAACTGCAGACCGTGAATGGAGAGGTCGCCGGTGAGGCAGCGTGACTGGGCTGCCATGGACCCTGATGATGTAGCTCAATTCTCCATATTAGCTAAGGCCAACTACTACCTTCTGTTTGTGTGGGTGTGTGCCTGTTTCCTGCTATCGTTGAAGATAGCTCATCCTTGTAGCCCTGGCAAGGCAAACGTGTGTGTGCTTTGTAACCGTAGTGACTACTGTTGTTATCTGATGTATGGCAACCGCTACAGTTTATGCAACCTGATGATGTTCTATGGATTTTGCTATATCAGTCCCAGGCAGCCTCTGCTTTCTATGTCCCAACTTGCTGATGCTAAATTGATGTGTTCAAAGTTTCAATATGACTGATCAAAATCTGAGTATCCTGAATTGGAATGTTCGTGGATTGAACTGCCCCAACCGCCGATCGACCATTCGAGAGACCATCACTGCCACGCCTTGCCATTTAGTCTCTTTGCAGGAGAAAAAGCTCGAACAGGTCGATCTCTCCATGGCTTCCTCTCTCGGTGGTCCGAGGCTCAAAAGTTTTGCGCAACGTCCTGCTATTGGTACTCGTGGTGGCATCCTGTTGTTGTGGGACGAAAACTTCCTCGAGGTTAAGGACATTAGCACTGGATCCTTTTTCCTGTCCGCTACAATCACCATTGCTTGTAACAACACTTCTTTCAAGTTCACAACCGTCTATGGGCCAACCCGAAGTAACCTCAAAGACTCTTTTTTCCAGGAGCTGATCAGTGAGAAGCCATCCCCTGGTACTAGATGGCTGCTTGCCGGTGATTTTAATCAGATTTATCGGGCAAGCGACAAGAATAGAGCTAACAGTGACCGAAGCCGCATGACACGCTTTCGCAACACCCTCAATACTTGTGAGCTCAAAGAAATACACTTGCAAAACAGGAAATTCACTTGGAGTAATGAACAAGGCGCTCCAACGCTAAGCAAACTAGACTATTTTTTTCTGCAATGAAGAGTGGGACATCGATTTTGGCAATCATTTGCTGCATGCCCTCTCCTCGTCCCTTTCTGACCACTGCCCTCTCCTACTTGCCAATGACCAAGGGCCGCCGAAGACTAAGTGTTTCCGTTTTGAAAATTTTTGGATCAAAATGCCCGGCTTCAAGGAGATCGTGCAAGGTGCTTGGAACCAAAATGTGAACCATGTAGACCCGTATCATATCTTATTTCACAAGTTGAAAAAGACCAGCCAAGCCCTGAGAAAATGGAGCAAGACAATTTTTGCACACTCCAAGGTGCAACTACACATGGCTCTGGAGGTCATACTTCGCCTGGATGTGGCACTTGAGCTCAGGCCTCTTAGTGTGGAAGAACGTGATATTCGTGCAAGGCTCAAGAGAAAGGTTGTCGCCCTGGCCGTCATGGAGCGTGCTCGAAAGAGGCAAAATTCGCGAGTCACCAATCTCAAAGAGGGTGATGCAAACACTCGCTTCTTTCACTTGAGAGTCAACCATAGAAGAAGGAAGAACTTCATCCACCGTCTGAAGCACAATAATGGTTGGGTAGTGGATCATGATCACAAAAAGTCCATCATCCAAAACCACTTTGTCGAGGCCACGAAGCGTCCCCCGCCACGACGCAAGGACATCAACTGGGATAGCATTCCGGTGCCTGCTAGGGACCTTTCTGACCTTGGGGTGGCCTTCACGGAGGAGGAGGTCAGGAAGGCGATTTTCGATCTACCCCGTGATAAAGCCCCAGGCCCCGATGGCTTCTCTGGTGCCTTCTTCAAGGAATGTTGGGAGATCATCAAAGATGACATCATGGCTGCTATCAGGCACTTTTCAAACTTGCACACGTCCAATCTTCATTGGCTCAACTCAGCCAACATTGCTCTCATACCTAAGAAAGAGGGGGCGGAGAGCATCTCAGACTTTCGTCCCATCAGCCACATTCATGCCATTGCGAAGATCCTCACCAAGGTGTTGGCTACGCGCCTAGCTCCTCATATGAACAATCTTGTATCCACTGCCCAAAGCGCATTCATAAAGAAAAGAAGTATCCACGACAACTTCATGTATGTCAGAAATTTGGCAAGGAAGCTCCACAGAAACCGTACACCGACCCTGCTATTCAAACTTGACATCAAGAAGGCTTTCGACTCAGTGCGATGGGACTTCCTTATGGACCTGTTGAGACACCTCGGGTTCCCGACCAGATTTCGAGATTGGATTTCTGCACTCCTCTCCACGGCCACCTCGAGGGTTTTGATCAATGGGGTGGTGGGCGACCCGTTGAAGCACGGTTGTGGTCCCCGGCAGGGAGATTCACTATCCCTGCTCCTCTTCGTTCTGGCTATCGACCCCCTGCACCACCTTCTCAACAAGGCCACCTCACAAGGGCACCTCCACCCTATTGGTGGAAGAGCACCGACCATCAGGACGTCTTTATACGCAGACGATGCTGCCATCTTTGTCAGGCCCATGAGAGAGGACGTCCAATTTCTTGCTTCCTCCTTAACCGCTTTCGGAGAAGTGACCGGTCTGGTTACTAACTGTGCTAAAAGCATGGTGGCTCCCATTCGGTGTGAAAACATAAATCTGGACGACATCCTGCAAGCCTTCCCGGCGGTGCGCTCCACTTTCCCGATGCGATACCTTGGTCTTCCGCTGTCAGTCAAGCGCCTCAAAAATATTCACTTTCAACCCCTCATTGACAAGGTCGCCAGCAAGCTCCCTCCTTGGCAGGGAAGACACGTTGCCAGTGCTGGGCGCGTGGTTCTCGTTAAAGCGGTCCTCACGGCCATCGCGATTTATCACCTCACGCCTCTCGACATCCCCGTGGAGGTGCTAAACGCAATTGACAGCCTTCGGCGTGCATACCTTTGGGCTGGAACGGACAAAGTTTCGGGAGGGAAATGCAAGATTAATTGGGATCTCGTTTGCAAGCCTAAACAGTTTGGCGGACTAGGCTTGCTCAATCTGGACAAATTTGCTAAAGCCCTACGTCTTCGATGGCTATGGTTTGAGTGGGTGGACAAAAGCAAGCCTTGGATAGGCATGGGATCTCCATGCACTGGCGACGATCGTATCTTTTTTGCTGCCGCTACAACGGTTAATGTGGGCAACGGGCGCACAGCCAGATTCTGGAACTCGCCATGGTTAAACGGCTTGTGTCCCCGTGACTTAGCTTCGGGCATCTTTGCCATTTCACACAACAAGAATTTGTCCGTCCAGCGAGCCCTCACCAACAACAACTGGATCTCTCTCATTGACACCTCCAATGGCCTGTCGCTCGCACACGTCCAGCAGTTTGCTGACCTTAAGGTTTCCATGGCCTCTCTGACTGATGACATAGAAGATTCCATCATTTGGAAGTTCACCAAGGATGGGGTGTACTCTACTTCCTCTGCCTACAGGGCTCAGTTTGAGGGACTCACTAAGTCGGATCTTGTTCACACAGTTTGGAAGGTTTGGGCACCCCCAAGGTGCAAGTTCTTTGCCTGGCTTGTCCTTCAAAATAGGATTTGGACTTCGGATCGGCTGATACGCCGCGGCTGGCCAAACTGTGGCCTCTGCCCTCTATGTCAGCAATGCCAAGAGTCGGCCGCCCACCTCCTTTTCCAATGTTGCTACACCACCCGCATTTGGAACAATATTCTCCCGTGGCTTGGAATGCATCACATCACTACGGCGGCTTGGCAGACAATGACTTCGGTGAGAGCATGGCGGAATGGCAACCTTCAGATTCGCCTTGGATCCCCTAAGGCGCTCGCCTCCTTGATGATGCTTATCTCATGGGAGATATGGACGGAGCGCAATGCCAGAGTCTTCAGAAACACGGCCATCCCTTCCCTAGTTCTTATCAGTAAGATCAAAGCAGAGGTGTCTCTTTGGGCGATGGCCGGAGTGAAGCACATGAGTGTTGTCATGCCGCGAGAGTAGACCTCTTACTGTTTTTCTCTTTTAGCTGCTTTGCGACTTTTGTCTATGACTTCCTTCTTAATCAATGAAATGGCAAATCTTTTGCCTTGTTTCAAAAACAATGGAAATAAAAGGAGCTGGAACATGGCACTACAATTAGCTTGCATTACAAACTGCATTATCAAAACAGACACATGAGACGGCATTCTTGATTTAAGTTGCAGAATAGCAGAAGACGCTACTAATTTTATTTTATTTTATCAAATCAACGTAGATGGACCCATAAGTGAGTGCAAAAATGATACTCCCTTCGTCCCAAAATAAGTGCCTCAAGTTTGTACTCCCTCCGTCCGGAAATACTCATTGGTAGTTTCATCAAACTATGGCATTTCATCAAACTATGGCAATCAAGGGCGGTAGAAGCTAATAGGAGATTGAATGGAGGGTGGGGATTGGATCCGGGGACCGGTGGACGACCGATGAACGGTTAAGAGGCGCTAGAATGTTGGCCAGCCAGCTACGCCATGTGGCGCATGCTGATTGGTCACGGTAAGAAAGCTTTTTTTAGAGTTTTTTATGTAGGTTGATTTTTTTAGAGAAGTTTTTTTAGGATTTTTTTCCTTTTAAGATGGTTGTGATGTCCACGTGACGTGAGAATATTTTTTAAAAATTTTGACATGATAGTGAGGTGTGCATAACTTTCTCTAAACAGCCCGCGATGGCAGGCCCCAACCACTAGTTGGATCAAAGGGTGGGAGATCAGCAAGGAAAGCAGCCAAGAAGGGGACTGCTCGCTGCTGCACGGGGCTCGCCGTATGGGCAGGGGCGCAGGTCGAACGAGACACCGGACACGGGGCACGGCGGCCGGTGGGCGCCGGGATTGGTAGGGTTCCACGGGCACGGGACGGAGAGCTCATATACGCCGCCCGTGTGCGCCCGATCGTCGCGGCTTCGCTGAAGCGACGCGCAAACGTGTTGGGGAACGTTGCAGAGAATAAAAAATTTCCTACGGTTTCACCAATATCCATCTATGAGTTCATCTAGCAACGAGTGATAGGAGTGCATCTACATACCTTTGTAGATCGCGAGCGGAAACGTTCAAGAGAACGGGGTTGAGGGAATTGTACTCGTCGTGATCCAAATCACCG